TAACCAATTTAACCGTCCAGAACTATTCGTTTAAAAAAAAAGACATAAAAGTGAGCATTTCCACCATTTTTGTTTCGGTAGCATCCCTAATAATAATAATATTTAACTGATGTCGAACATACGCTGTTAGATTTCATGTTAATGAACTCAAAGCAAAAGAATAGGTGCATGTGAAATAAGGGGAAGGGGGTGGAGCTCTCAGGAAGTGTCAGTTAATATTAATATCAAAACACCAGCGCAAATCATTCCAGATTCACGTCTATTCGCTCCTCTCCTGTTTTATTGGGGAGAATAAGACTGCTCTTTTGCCGTACTTTTGAGCAGGAAACCCAAGCAAAAACAGGGAGAACAGGCAAAACTCCACACAGATAGTAACCCAGATTTTAAAGAGCTCCCTGCTTCCTGCTACTTCAGGTAAATTACAACAATCATGATATGACTAAACAGTAATCAGATGTTTACTTCTACTTGCGTAAATGTGATCTGCTGTTTTTCCAGCTGAAGCGTAAAATTAACCATCAGATGGCATCGCCTAATGAAACGTTATTAAACTGTGGGGTGCTCGAGGTGGTAGTTAAAAATGATCACCTGCATAGCCTGCGGCATGATGACAGAACGCGTCTGTTCATCGCTTTAGAACAATGAAACAATGAAACGTGGGTTTTAACTGAATGAGAATTATATAATCTAATTCTCTCCCAGAGGAGGGAGGACCTAGTGACTGACAAGTCTCATCTAAGATCTACCATTACACAAGCCATACAGAAAAGTGAAATTAAGTAATTACCTCTCAAGGAACATGAAATAATTTGTAAAGATTCTATACAAATATATACAACCCCTGGCAAAAATTATGGAATCACCACACTTAGAGGATGTTCACCCAGCTTTTTTACTTTATAGCAAAAAAACAAATCACAGATATGACACAAAAAAGGTTTTGTTCAATAGCTTAACATTCTGGCTTTGTGAAACATACATAAAAAAAAAATTCACTGACATTTTTTTTTATTAATGGCATGTCTTTTTCCAAATCAGGTAGAGGAAAAAAGTATGGAATCACTCAATGTTGAGGAAAAAATTATGGAATCATCAACAAAAAAACACAATTAGTACTTTGTTGCTCCTCCTCTGGCTTTCATTCTTTGAGGCATAGACTTCACTAATGAAAAACAATATTCCCCATCAATCTGGTTCCAACTTTCTCGAATAGCAGTTGACAGATCAGCTTTGCAGGATGGAGCCTTATCATAGACCAGTTTTTTTAATTTCCACCATAAATTTTCAATTGGATTGAGATCCGGACTGTTTGCTGGCCATGTCACTGAGTTGATATGCC